GGTTTGCAAAAAATTTATTTATTTATTTATTTATATCAATGTTTTTATTAATGTTTGTAATATATTCTGTAAAATCAATCAATTTTTTTTGTAATTATTCCTGAGAAGATTAGACAACTTGCAGAAATGTTTAATTCAGATAAGAAAGTTAAAGATATAAAAGTGAATTGTGTAAAGTTAAAGAAAACCATCAAAAAATTGAAAATAAAATTGACTCTGACAATTTTTATTTTTATTTATCTCAAAATTTTAACGATCCAATTGCCCATAGATTATTGTTATTGTTATTATTATTGTATTTTACCTTTTCTTTTGTTCCTTCTATATTATTTCCACGATTTCTTTTAAATATTAACTGGTGTGCGTGTCGCCCATTTTGAATATGTTTCTGCCCAGTTTGTTTAGGATGCTAACTTCTTGTATTGTTGGTGGAAGTAAGGGCGGCGGGCGGTTCCACCAGCAAATTACTCTCCGCTGACCTGTTTTTAGCAATACCTTGACCTGTTGTGCAAGAGGAAAACTATGGTTTTGATGATGTGTTGTGTTCGCAGCTGTTATCGTTCCTGTTGATATGGATATTATTGGTATTTGATGTTAAAGCTGTTATTGGTGTTTAGGTTGTTATTGGTACTGAATTAGACTCTTTATTGATATAGAAAGTAGAATCGTTATTGGCCTTGATATCAGGTATATTATTCATTATTATATTGTTTATTCGTGTAGCTATTTGCCATGGATTTTGTAACATTTTGTATCAACGTTATTATTATTCTTCTTGATTGGCTTTGTGGTTATGGTCAAACTTGTTTGCCGGCCGATTTGGTAATTCCTTCACCACGTGAAACTTTTGATTAAATTACTAAAACAAAAAAAAATTTATATTTAAAAAAAGTTAACAGATAGGTTTTATTGTTCATGACTCAAGCTTCAAAACTTTTCGGATGGCTTTTTTCTTAAACTAAAAATTGGCCTTAAAAATTCCATTTATTATTGAGTAACACCAAAAGAAAATCATTACCGAACCTCTGCTATTACTATTATATACTATGAGATAAAATTTTTTTTAAGTGTTTTAGTACAACTTCAAAATGTATAAAAGAACTAATAACTAACTTATTAATAGTCAGACATGATCAATGTGTGATATTTTGTAAGAAATG